TAATAATACTATATAATATATTGCAAGCTACATAGAAGTTCTGTGTATAACTGTTGAAGCGCCATTAAATTGTTTAACGCTTAACTCAAAGATATATCTATACAATAGCTTGAATTTTTATATAAGCCACGAATATTTAATAGATGAAGCATTTGCCGTCCGTGCAAATTATTTCGCATTTTTATATTTTATATTGTTATTGTTTTTGTTATTGTTATAATTTTAGATAATCACTATTTAAATTTAATGCTAATAATGAATGATATTGTTAACGCAGTTCGTACTTGATTTAAATTATTCATATAGAGAATATGCATGGGAAATTTCCGTGGGCGTTCGCTGCAGTAGCAAAGGTTTCAGAGGCTACTTTAACAACAGCAACAACAGCAGCCATAAAAAGCGTTTATATAGACCGTTTTGATGGCTGTCAAAATAATATATCAATGTTAGTTGCTAAAATACATAAAGAACTTGTTAACTTTTTGTGGCAGGCGCCTATCGTTAAATGATATTTGAGGGCTTAACACCGATATGACGAAATTTCCGAATGGACTGATAAGAAATTGTTGCCCAGTGAAGAGAGTTTGGTTTATATGAGGGGTGTCATTAGGGCCTAACTGTTTTATAGCCACTAAAGAGTAGAACGCGCGTCTGTTTCATTGGCTTTAGCATCTTATATACATATTCAGTATTGTCACATCTTATCGGAGCCATAAACTACGCTAATGATGCTTATATGCGTTAGATAAAGCTCCAGACTCGCGAGCATGTGATCTGCACATTTGCCACACGACATCAACTATAATTTAATTAAAATCAGCTCCTCAGTTTCAGTCCAACAAGTTCAATTCAATTATCTGATCAAGCGCGTCATTGGAGCAACTCTCGATGGATTTCTCTCTCTTTTAGGATACATATGTATATACATATATATAGATCAGTTGGAACGGTTAACCGTTTGGCGCTGGCGCTGTGGCTGCTAATGGCTCAGTATTTTATGCTAATTTTCGCACAGCTCTGTTTAGATTGTCAACAAGGCAACGGACTCGACGTGCAATCAGCGCAAATGCCGTAGAAATTACTTTCTCAATTGAACCCATTTACGCGCTCCTCACCTCGTATACGTATTATAGCATATCAAGTATACGGCACGTGACCGTCTTTATATATGCATTGCACTTACAATATTCAAGTTTGTAAAGATTCGTTAAATTGCAATTTGCGTCCACTGACCCAAGAGAGCGAGAGGCCCCCGCCATGTGTGTGTAGACTCAGGAAATTCCTTCAGCCGCATGTGGCAGCAATTTGCACAGCTGATCTGGCGAGTGTCTGTATATTTGCGCATATTTCCGAATCGACAAAATTGCCGACAAGCAAATAGTAATTCTCATTTGACAACAGCCAATTGCTGGCTCAGCTTTTAAATTAGGTATTCCTTTATTTCGTATAGCCAGACACTGCGAATACGCGCATTTGATGGCACTTGGCTTCGCCTTGTCGCCCTTGTCTTATCAGCTCTGGCATTTTGCATTCTATTATTAGACCTTGGCGCAGTTTAATGAGTTTATGATATGGCTGACTGTTTTGCTTTTCTTTTTTGTTTGCTGCAGCAAAACAAAATGCTTAACGTTCATCGATCTTCATAGGCGGGTTGAGCGCAGTTAATTATTAGTTTTATTTTTTTATAATCGTTGTTATCAGTTGTTGCACATAATATATATATATTATAATAATACCCTTAATATGTTTTTAAATAATTGATTATCATATTTATTAAAGAATTGATTAGCATAATCATTTTCATGATTATCAATATTTTTTTTTATTCATGATAATTTTCATTATCAGTCATTATATCATTACAATTACTCACTGGAATTATGCAGTATATAGTCTTTCTTCTTAATTTCTTTCTTCATTCTTGATTCTTCCTCATTAGAATTATTTATTAACGACTATTCAAATATCAAATTCTTTTTAAATTTCGCTCTTTGGTCATATTCCTCACTTAAATGTAAATTTATCTGCTCTCAATACTCTTAGTCACAACTTCTTCCATAATGTCATTTACTTAATTTGCTCTGGGTAGTGTTTCTTCGAAAGTCACATGCTTAGACACACCCCCTTAAGAGTATGGGATGTGCATATATTCATGTTGTTTCCCCACAATTTTCTGATAAACTCATGTGTCATCGTTGCCAAGATATTGTGTAAGAAACACATGTAGATTTTGCTTAACTTGACAACGAGACGTATGAGTAATTTGACAAACTGGTTTCTGGTTTCTATCGAACTTAAGGTGATGTTGCTGAATTGTGAGCCTAGGACAATAATTTCCGTGTATGCCACATTGGCAGCAAGCGGCCATTGTGAAATTGATAAAAAGGGCAATATGCGAAAATCAAGTGTCATGGCAATTGAAGTTGTGCCGTGTGCTGTGTGCTTCAGATAACTGGATGACGTAGTACCTTTAATATAGTCAAGACACGCCACTGACACAGGTCGATTGATAGATGGTGAAATTGACAATCGAATGTTCCGGCAGCATAATTGTAAAGATAACAATAAATAACAATAAAAAAACAATGCCATAAAGCGTAAAAATAATCAACAATAATTATTTTTATTTTTGTTGAATGTAAGTTTATGATATTTTTAAACCTGAAGTCGAGTGCTATTTATACGACAGGTGTTAAAACGTAGTGCCTAGCAGACTAATCGACGCCGACTGCGGGTCTTATCAGTAATCCACTAGAGGCTCTACGCCCTCGTCTATTGCAGTTAAGTGATTGCGGCTCATTATGCGTTAATTTTAGTTCATAAACACAAAATTTGCCCAATTATAGCATATGAATGGAAAGCATGACCATTTTTTTTATCGGTTGTCAAGTGTTTGGGCTTTATAGGGATATACAATATATTTATATATTAAACAAGCCATGCCCATTGATAGCTTATCTGGACGATCGGGCGTAGTAAAAATAATTTTTCATATCACCAATTGCCATTTTGTAGTATAACATTTATTCTTGTTACCATTTCAGTATTCAGTGTCTATGCGAGCGGTACAGACGGTCAGTCCTATCTGCTCACCTTGGAGAACGTACTTACACGACAACTGCCATACAATCTAACCAGTGTGAACGGCACCAGCGGAACGGATCTGTTAGCCGAACAAGTGGATAATAACACAAGGATATTTGTCTATAAAAATAGTAAGTAAAGTGATCTCAAAAGATAGGCTCAGAGTGATGTGAAGTGATAAGCTTAGAGTGATGTGAAAATATGCGTGTATATAGATGATATAGATCTAAAGTAAACACGAATAGTTGATTTATATTGATCTAAATATTAAATGAAATTTACTTGAAAATATATGTTTATAAAGCTTCGACTTTCACAGATCCCGTTTCCAGTTCAAAAAGCTTACAAAATTATTAATTCTATGCTCAAACAATATGTGATTTATTTCACATGTTTTCCTATGAATTATAACCAAATATTGTAGATATATTAAATAATATACATGAATGTTTTCCCGTTATTACCAATTCACAGTCATAAGTTACAACTTAATAACGAGTCGATAAACAGGTTATGATAATATTTATATAAAAAAAAGAACCATTCAGTTCTCAGTCCAGTTGAACTCACGACTAGCGCTCATATCAAATGATTGTTTCAATGCATTAACTGTTTTTTGCGTCATTTGGTCTGTGACACACAGTCCAGTTTTTGATAGACGTCAGCATGATAAAGGCCGATGGGTATCTATTTGCTCCATGGAACACGAAGTAAAATTACTTATAATAATTATTATATAACTAACAGTCAGTTAACTGCGGGCATTTTTGTGATTTCCGAATGCCCATATTTTATAGAGAATTAGTCAACAATTTAATAGCTAATAATGCGATACATATGTATATACGCATTTACTGACCTAGGCTTGGCCACGCCTTCTTCTGCATTTTGGTTATACATATATTGAAAATTTATCTTTAGTATTCCATATTCTGTATTATTTTATATTATATATTATTATATGAACAATTATTTATACTGCACTTGCATATTTTCGCATATAATTGCGAATTTTCGCTAGCAGTCAAATATAACAAAATTGTTGTAATCTAATATTTAAAAAACATTTAAGGCTTGCAATACCTTTAGCATAAACGTGCAAATTACTTTTGTATATATTTGGAAATAAATACGAATTTCAGTAACAGAGAGACTCGAATTGTAAAACACACTACAGCTTTTGTTGCAATTTTGGGCATAAATTATATATAATTTGGCTTATCAAACAGATTTAGAGTCTATTCAATATTAATTTGTGGGCTAAAAAAATCGTAGCTGTCCATTTGTAGCACACTTAACTTGCCAGCTTTATCTACTTATATGTTTATGCATCTAATTAATTATTATTATTTTTTCTTCTCTTTTCAGTTGTGGACTCTAGCAACGAACTGTCTCAGACGGCAATGGATGTGATTACCATTGTTTGGTATGTGGCTACATTTCTGGCTCTGGGTGCTTTCTTTATGCTGATGGCCTGTTCGGATCGCAGATGCCGCGATACGCGTAGTCCACAATCGAATGCCACGTCCAACGAAGCACAGCGTGCACCACCCACGCCGTCGCCGTCGTACAGTGAATTTGCACCGCCCAGCTATGATACGGTTATCAAAATGCAGCATGCGGCCAAGCCGAGCATCTTTGTTATACCGTTCAACAGTGAGAATAAAGCCAATGATGAGTCGAATGTGACGCCCGTAGTGCCACCACCCGCCAGCATCTATACAATCGATGAACGGCCCAAGGCACAGCATTGACGGGGCCATTGCCTTTAAGCCACATTCGGTCCACATTGGGGCTGTGCAATTAACGTCTCTGTGATATTTACCTGGTGCTCATTCAAAATGCCCTCGTTTTGGGTGAACGATCAAAAACGATGCGGCCAATTTTGTAGTGCAGTGTAAAACATGTATTATAATAACTTTATTGTATTGTAGCAATAGCAAAACTTTAGCCTTTAATAATGTATATTAGTAACTGTTTAAGAAGACTGAATGACAGAATATTCTTATATATTTTGCAGTAGTCCATTTATTATAATGTTTTTACGTAGGTTATCCAATAAAAAAAACATATATTATTATTTAAAATCATGATACATTTTTAATCAAATTTGATTTGGGACAGGCATGTATTGCACACAGATTTCGCAAGAAAGTGATTCACATTAAAGATTTGAAAAAAAAAATAAAATTAAATTAAACGAATTAATTGGATACCAAGCAGTGCAAAGACAAGCTGGTAAAAAGCAGTGCGCAACAGCCCAAGCAGTACAGCATAGCAAGCAGGTGTTTAGCCAAGACACACACCAGCACATTTAATTTTTAAGGTCTTCGCACTAAAAATAAATTCTTATAACTTAAATATAATTTTTTTTTATTGATATTGTATATTGTACTTATTTAAATTTCAATAAAAATGTATATTGATTTAGAGCTTTTTCTGTAGGTCTGCTTTAAAACATTTGTATCCATTTATAGCCTTGACACAAATTAAATTGCTTATGAGCAGCTCAAGTAGATCATTTCGAGCTTCACAGCTGTTCAAGTTGAATTAGGCAATCGTATTTCCCCCTTATTATATGTATTATTATTTTCTCGATAATAATGTCAGTAAATATCAATAAGCTGTTCTCTATTTGTTTTGCAAGCACAACGAAACACGCAGAGCATTAAAAGTTAAATATTATCAGTTGCGACGATGCCTATAGTCGGGGATTTTCAATGAATGTTCTAGATAACATACAAATTTCATGGTCCATCTGATTAGGATTATGTTGAGCACTGCTGTAGAGCACATCGTCAGCTTGTCAGTATTTCAGCTTGTCAAGTTTATAGTTTTATGTGTGCCAGGGTATTCATGCTGCGTTTTTAATTGCCAAGAGCTTCATTCATTCATTAACAGTTGTTCCAGAGAGATCAAGCTCTTGGGCATCATCACGTGATGTGCACATGATCTAATTTATGGAAGCCGTTTCTTCAATTTAACTTATTTTCAATATTTAATTTTTGCACATTTTGCTAAAATTAAATTTTTGTTGATTCCTAAAATGAGCGAAACTTTGGCCAGACAACACAGGCACGCTCACGAAATCCACGAGAGCTGATAACAATTACAGATTGTTTCTACATCAGTATACAAACACACACACACACGCATACATACACGTGCACACACACGGAGATCGTAACCAGATCATTTGCTTTTAAATGCAGTTAAATCACGTTACGCCTCGATAAATGCGGTTAATCATAAAGAAGTTGTACTTCTTGATTACTCTGTGGATACTCCATGGCGCCGTCTGCCTGGCTGCTCGAATACCCTGTAAACAAAGATAATATTGTGTATATTATATAACCTAGAGAGAGGATTAAGAGTGGGTTTTACACTGATAATTTTACACTTTAACTTGTTAATGCATCTAGAATTAAATATAGAACAATATTTTATATGTATAATTTAATTACCTTTATCAACTTGAGACTTTTGAAACATGAACGATTTGAACCTGAGTTCAAGGGTATCTTCTAGTCGAGCATACTGGCTGTTGTCGCTGCTGTTCAATAAACATTCAGAACTCATAAATACTACTTGAGTCTAAATATTTGATGGTCCATTCATTACGTTATTGGCGTGCTTTTCAGAGCGCGTGAGTTCCTCAAATGAATTATGTTTTCATTTGCATCGGGTTTGTTTTTGTTTTTGGATTCGGGTTTGGTGCTTGCCTCAATTGGTGTTGTTGGTGTTGGCATTGCCTGCTGAGTGCCAACTAGTGCCGGCTGATCTTTCATGCGCCGCCCGTCGTTGGGTTTTCCTGCTGTTCGTTGTTGTTTTGCAAACGCGCCAATATTATTAATGGCTCTCACGCTCTTCAATTGAACTGAGAGCCCGCATACAGCACTATCTGGTGTGCCCTCTGCCAGCCCCTTGGGCTGCTGCTCTCTCTCTGCTCTCCAGTAGGTTGATGGCTCGCTTGTTTGGTTGTCTGTTGTGTGATCGACGGGCTGATTCTCTGACTGCCCCAGCGTCAGCCTCAGCCTCAGCCTCTGCCGCTGCCTCATTTGTCGTTCGTTCGTCGTGTTGTGCAAAACAACGTTTCGTGGTTTCTATTCGACAACATTTTTTGTTGAAAAGCATCTGGAACGAATTTCGACTCGCTCAGTGCTACGCAAACCGTGCCAACGTGTGGATTACTTACGCAGTGACAATACAATATTATATATAAATATAAAACCGATAAGACTAAATATGTCATACAGCATACATATTTTGGGCCTGTGCCTGGTGTTAGCTTTGATGCTGCAATTTGTTTGTGCGGATATCGAGACGAACGAAGTGAATGACAATAGCACACCCGAATATAGTAAGTGTGAATGCTTGACGTAGCCTTAAAACCATCCAATATTCACTGTACATCCCCAACTTGTAGTGATTCAGGGTGTGCGTGTTTACCCCAACGATCGTCACTGTGTTTTGGTCGGAGGTCTCTGTGTGCACACCAGCGACTGCAATCTGCCCACCACTAACAAGGGTCTCTGCCCCACCAGCGCCCACCTGGGCGTTGAATGTTGCTATGAGTGTAAGTAGTCTCCGGACGAATTTGTCAAAATGCATATAGAGCTTTGCTTCTAACGCCTTAACATCTCTCAGTTATTTACCCAAATGCGTATAGCAATTCCTAACCAAATTCCCAYTTACAAATTATTTCCAAATAATAATAATTATTGAGTTTAATTGGTATTACTTTATGTACTCATCTATTGTGATTTTTTTGATTTTTTTTTGTCTTTCCTTCAACAACAATAAAATACTAACAATCGACGTCTATGTCTGCTGTGTGCTACCTCCTCCCTCTACTGTCTCTCACCTGTAATTGTCATTGTTATGCATTGTATGTGCCCCGCCCCGTTCCATGTTCCCCCTACCATTGCAGTGCCGGTGAGGCCAGCGCCCTGCGCGCAGCACCTGGGCGCCTGTATGAGGTCCTGCAATCCATCAATTCAAAGACCCGCAACCGACTGCGAAAACGGAGAAGTTTGCTGTGTTTTGATGAACAAATAAATGCATTACAAAATTATTTGTCAACTGTAGACTATAGTTAACAATACTCTTACTTATATATTGTACGAATTATTCTTATATAAAATATATTTCTACTGTTGTAATAAAACACACTGTAAATATTTAAAAACAATTCATTTTGCAACTTTTATTTACTTTTATAGAAATTAGATGCTTTGAAAAGCCTTTAAGATAGTCAACTGCTAGCAGAACGGAAGATTTATATGTTATATATTTATTATTATTTGAATTCCATACAAAAATTATATTATGAAAACTTTTGTAATTCAATTTGTGATGACTAAGCCTTTTGGTTTAATTAAAAAAAAAATCTTATTAGCTGCTTGAATAATTTTACACAATTTTTTGAAAAGCTTCAAAATTTGGTTTACTATTCAGCTATTCCAAAGGTGTGGATTTATGGTCTATTAGATTTACATTTGATGCACGTGTTCTGCAAAACATTCTTTCTCCGTTTTCCATGGATATATGTCAGTGATACGTTAATCATTACTGTAATAATCCAATGAATTTACTGATCTCACACTAAGGACTTAACATGTCGAAGAGCATAAATATTTTGGGATTCTGCTTGGTGGCTATATTGTTGCTGCAATTTGTTTGTGCAGATCTGAAGACAAGCTTTGTAAATGACAATGGTAAAAGCGAATTTGTTGAGTATGAATGCTTGAAATCGAGTTAAACTCATCCGATATACTTGCCCAATTATAGAGCTAGCACCCTGCGACCAAGAGATGGTCATCTGTATGAAGTGGTGCGGTTCATCAATTCGAAGACCCGGATTCTGCGAAAACGGAGGATTTTGCTGTGATTTGGTGCGAAAATAAATTCATTACAAACTGTGGACAATTGCTATATATGTATATTATACTTATACACTGTACATTAAATAAAAATCTATCCATTTTGTAACGTCCTTTGAAATTTTAAGACAATCAGACAGCAAATAAAAGGCATTGAAAAGTCTTTAGGTCAGTCAACTACTAGAATAACGGAAATATTTTAGTAATATTTATCGAATTCTAAAAATTAAATGTTGTTTCGAGTTTCGAGTTAATATTATTTATTTACATATATACACATATGTATATGTCTATACGCTTATTTCGTAAAGCGTATTATTATTTCCTGAATCCAATGAATATGGGAAGTAAGGGTATATTATACTTATGGAAGTGTATGAATGTTCTTCATATTTAAATTAAACAAATCGATCAAAAAACCTCTAAGGATAATATAAATATTGCTCAAGGAAATATAATGTTAAACTAACATCTATGTATAATATTCGATAATATGTTATAAATACAAAATTATAATAGTATCTATGTAAGAATGTTTAATTATTTTATATGTATTAATATCTATATTTTAGAGACAGATATGGCTTGCTGCAATAATTTTAATAAATTTCAAGTTAATAATTTAAAGTTCGGTCTACAATTCCTAAAGTGTGTACTTATGGTCTATTAAGAGGTGTAGATAAATAGATTTACATTTGATGCGCGTGTTTCTCAAAACATTCTTTCTCCGTTTTCCATGGATATAAGTCAGTGATACTTTAATCATTACTGTAACAATCCAATGAATTTACTGATCTCACACTAAGGACTTAACATGTCGAAGAGCATAAATATTTTGGGATTCTGCTTGGTGGCTATATTGATGCTGCAATATGTTTGTGCGGTTATCGAGAGTAAGTGTGAAATTTTAAAGTTATCCATGACTTCCAAATAATAATAAGAATGATTAATCTACTCTCGTCCGTAATTTTCGCTCACCATCCTGTTCCACGTTGCCTTTACCGTTGCAGTGCCGGAAGAGCTAGTGCCCTGCACAAAATACGGGGGCGAATGCGTCAGAAGTTGCGGTGAAGCAGCACGACTAGAGAAAGCAAACGAATGCGACGCCAACGGAGAAATTTGCTGTTACTTTGTTTAGTAACAAGAATATATTATATATATAAAAGGCAGCAAATATGGAAAAACTATGTTGATAGCCTGAAATAAATGTGATGATTTTTTTTTTATTCTCAATTCATTTGATTTAATTTAGTATATTACGGTCAACCATATCTAAAGCAGATTGAAACCACTTAGAGGTGTAGATAAATAAATTCGTAACGTTATGCTATAGGTCTTTCTATAATCACCTATGTCTAAAGCAATTATGGTCTATTAAGAGGTGTATATAAACAGAGCTGCATTCTTGCTTCGGTTAGTATTCGAATTTTCGACTTGATCAGTGTTGCGTTTATCGTTACTGCAAAACCCCAACCAATATACAGATCTCAAACTAAGGCTTGAATATGTCGAAAAAAATAAATATTTGGGGCTTCTGCTTGTTGGCTGTATTGATGCTGCAATTTGTCGTGGGTAAGTGCGACTTCCAAATAAGAATAATAATGATTGACTTTAATTAGAATTACTTTATACATTCATCTATATCTTTACCTCTCGTTCAACAATCAAATACTAATAATCGACATCTACGTTGCTGCCTGTTACTTCTGCTCTACTGTCTCTCTCAATTGTAATTGTCGTTCCCCACCCCGTTTCAGGTTGCCTCACCATGGCAGCAATACTGTCTTGCAAAGAATCCCATGGCGATTGCATCCCACCCGACCGCTGCGGGAACGCACCACATTTATCGGAACCAAACGATTGCTCTATCGGAGGAAATACTTGCTGTTTCTATGAATGAATAGATTCGAAATGTTATGCTGCTTAGTAACAAGAATAAAAAATAAATTGAAATCAATAAAT